CAAAGTAATCAGATTTAAAGACTTAATGCAGTAATGGGATGGCAGAGCTTAAGTGCGAGTAACCATGGAGGCAGCTGAGGGAGGCGATAATTGGATTGAAGGCAAACGGGGCATCATTTTAAGGTGGAAAGCATCAGGGCTGCAGCGTGCACCTTGCTGGGTGTACGTGGTGCCCATAGGGCTGCTTGCTGCATAGAGGCACCAGGGGGAAAGGAAGGATGGCACTGGCCAGGTGGGAGCCTTATTCCCACCCCTGGGCCTGCTGTACCATGGGAAGGGGTACCTGAGGCTTGGAGGCTCATTCAGAGCAAAGGGAAAATGCTGCAAGGAGCAGTGACCTGAGGAGGGATCATGTGCTGCAGACATTAGCTGCTGAGCAGACCTCCCAGGAAATGCAGTGTCTGGCTTTATTAACTGCCTCGCTCTCTAATTAAGGCTGTGCAATGAGTTTATTACTCTTTAAAACAATAGTGAGGCTCTTGCAGTGGCTGCCTGAGAGGCAGAGGATCTTCCCTGGTGAGCTGCTTCCTTCTGACCTGCAGAGCCCTCCAGCAGGTGAGCTCTGCTGCCCTGATTCCATGCACCCCTCAGCCTCAGCTTCCCTCCCGGGTGCTCGTTCAGAGGTGGTGCTGTGTTGGTGGGGCTCTGAAGGAGGGCAGCATCCCCACGTACCTCCCTGTCTGGGCAGCAGCAAGTCGATGTCCTGCAGTTTCCCATCAGCACAGACTGATGTCAGTCCAGGGGAGGCCTCTTCCAGCAGGGCTCAGTGCGGCCACAGGGTGACCAAGCATCATGGAGCTGCACCCAGGCTAATTAGGCTGAGCACTGGGCGTGCTAACGAGGACACCAAGCTGCACTGTCTGGGTGTCTGCCCTGCTCTCACCTGGAGATGTTCAGTACCACCGCTTGGTGCCCCAAGCAGAACCCCGTGCACTGACCCCCTCCTCTGCCATTTTCTTGGCACGAGGGCACACTGAGCTCTCTGCTGGGTCCCTGCCCAACTCCTCTCTTGATTCCGGCCCCCAGCTCAGCTCGTTCCATCTCCCTGCTCCTATGCTAGCAGCAGCTGCAGCCAAATGCAGAGAAGCCATGCAGAAACTGTTCCCAGCAGGAGCATCCCTGTGCAGGTGAGGAGGGAATGACAAAAGTGTGCCGACATCCCCAGGAGGAGCAGTGCACAAGCATCACAGCCCACCACCAGGCTGCTCTCTGCCACGCAGCAAAGGGCATCCGACCTTCCTTTGTGTGTGAATGCAGCAAGAGATGTGCAAGATGGAGCCTCTCCAGCTTCTTCAGAGTGCAGTGTGCAAGCAGTGGTGTGGTGTGGCTGCTCTGTGCTGTGCAGGGGAGGGGAGGGAGCCTGGAGAAGTCATTGATCAGCTGCAGGTTGTCCTCAGCCTCTCACCAGCCTCATTCATCTCTGGAAGCATAGCAGCACTGACACAGCAAATGAGCCCAGTGCTTCCAGGGGGGTTGGAAATGCCACCAGCCTCACAAGAGCAGCTGTAGATCAGAGTGCTGGGCCACGAGTGGCTGGAATCAGCCATCATTACGGCTGCCTTGCTCAAGACAAGATCTGCCTTGGCTCCCCATTACAGGAGCTGTGCGTTGCTGCTGCTCTGGGAGGCACCAGCTTGCACCAGGATCTGGCCAGAGCGTCCCTGCTTCCTCCTGTTTGCCTCATGCAAACCAGATGGAGCTGCCCATACTTCCTCACCATCAGCCTGCTCTGCAGTGCCCAATATTTGGCCTTTTTTGGCTTTTCACCCTGCTTCTCCTTGGGATTTCTCAGGGATGTGCAGTAGGTTTTGCTGATGAAAAGCAAAGGTGATTTGTTGTCGAGTGTTAATGAAGCAAGACAGGAATTAATTGGCAATATCAAAGGGCTGTTGATAATATCTCGGTGCTCATTTCTTCTGCGTAAAAACCAAAGCAAGGACTGCATCCTGTATCAAAGCAGGGGCTGCACCTTCACCACATCACTCGGGCTGCTCACAGACCTCCTCTGATTCACACTGGGAAGCATAGGGTTGAGATGGGGACTCCCAGCAGGGACGGGGTGCTGTGCTGTTTTGCTGCAGGCCCAGGTTACTCATCACTGGTTTTGGCACAACGTTTAGGCGCATTAAAATCCAAGCAAAGAGCATAATTGCTGTTTTTACCCGGAGTGTCTGACTTCCAGCAGAGTGCCCAGCGCTGGCTGACGTGCAATTCCAGGGGCTGGCAACCAAGAGGCAGCAGGTGGTTTTCAAAACATGAGAAACCTGCTTTCAGAGAGGCTCCTGGCCCCGGGGCTGAGCGGAACACTGACCCCAGTCCCTTCCATGGGCAGACTCTGGGCAGCAGCTGCGGTGAGTCACTGTGCTAGCATGGATGGGCTGCCAGGCAGTGCCAGCATCACCAAGGTCTAAGTGGAAAATGCAAGAGACTCGGTGTTCCTCGCGGTGAGGCAGAGCAGTGCGTCTGCTCCACAGAGCAGGGCACCCTGGAGCCGTACAGGAGGCAGTGAAAGGGCTTCAGCGAGGTCATTGTGCTTGCAAAGAATATATTCCCTGTCTTATTTCCAGGCTGGAGCTTTTGAATCCCTTCTGCCTGCTGAGGAAATACACTGCCCCAGTGTCTGCCTGAACAAAGCCAGCGGCTGGGGCCATCTGTGCACACAGTGATGCTCCGGGCTTTGGCTCCTGGCTGCTGCTTGCAGTGTGCTGAATGTAGGTGGGCCAAACAGAGCAGGTATGGGCTGGCAGGGGGATAAGAAACAGCCCGACGAGCTGATAAGGCATCGAAGTCCAGTCTGCCAGAATTGATTTCTGCTCTGCACTACAGCACCCAGAGCTGCTTTGCCGTTCTTTTATCAACAAATAATTGGCTTTATCCAAACCTTAGCAGCTGGCAGGCAGCAGCCTGGCTTTGGGGCTTGCCACGGGGCTGCTGAGCATTAACATTCACATCTCATCCTCCTCTGCATCCCCCCCATAACTACAAAGAAGGAGGCGGGGGGTTGCTTCTTGCCTGCATTTTGCACCCAGGAGCTTTGCTCACAAAGCCAGCTCTGTGTGCTGGGTCAGACACACAGCAGTGGGGGCTGCACCCCTGGCCCTGCTTCCTCACCAGGGTCAGGATGCCGTGGCTGGAGCAGAAAGCCAATTAGCAGCTGTTTAGCTTCATCAACTTTCTGAGCGAATGCAAGTTTTAATTAAACATCCCATTTTAATTAGTCAGGCATCACGTACAGTAAGCTTGCCACAGGATTCGAAGGCTGTAGGTCCTGTGCCTTAATTAAAAGAATGAAGCACATGACTTCAGCTCCAGCATCTGTGGCAGCTCCTCATCCTTTCGGGGGTACGAGCAGAACACTGGGAGCAGATCTCTTCTTGCCTTGGCTCACTGTGCTGCTCTTCTAGCTCCCTCACCCCTCTGTGAGTGCCCCACTGCCCATATTGAGTCACACATGATGTGTGACAGCTCGTGTCCCAGCAGAGGATGTGCCAATGGAGGCTGTGTTAAGGCTGTGGGAGATGGGAAGGTGATCCAAGACAGCCAGCAAGGCTTCACCACGGGCAGATCCTGCGTGCTCATCCCTGATTTCCGACAGGAGGGAGTCAAAGCCCAACAGAAATCCCTTTGTCAGCCAAGCCTGGGAAGGGGGGCTATTAGTGAGCACAGAAAAGGGATGGATTCTCTCCTAAGTGCTCCAGGGACAGAGATTTAAATGCTTAACTCCCATTAATGCTAATGTGAATTACGGAGGTCTCCTCTCGCTGCTTTGAAACGAGAGCATCAGGAAAGCAGGCCAGCTATGTGGGAGAACAAATTCACTTGTTCTTAAGACCGTGCTGAATAGGATGTTTCTTCATTTGAAACTCATTCATTCTCCCACTGATGCTGGTTGTGGTGGGATGCTGCTCTGGTCACAGGGGACACCAGGGGATGTTGGAGGTTGGATATAGGGAGAAAATTGCTCTCCAAAGAGCAGTGCTGCAGTGGCACAGCTGCCCAGCAGCGGTGGGGTCACTGTGCCTGGAGGTGTTCCAGAGCTGTGGGGATGTGGCACTAAGGGATGTGGGCAGTGGCAGGGTGGAGTGGGCTGGGATGGGACTTGGGGATCTCGGAGGTCTTTTCCAGCCTGATTCTATGAATGTTGCAGCACACACTGGAGCACACTGGGTCTCCATCACCTTTCGTGTTCTGCTGAGGCACAGCAGTCCCAGAGCAGGCTTCCCAGCCCTGAGAAACCACAAGAATCCCCGGAGCTTTTCCCTGTCAGTCTGTTTCCATGCAGAGATGCACAAACACCACCTGCCCAATTCCCCCACACCTTGCTGCAAGCCTTCATCACCTCGTCCTCATCCTGCTCCCTGCTCACACCCATGCAAGCTGCTGCCTTCTTTTCTTAGGGCCAACCTGCGACTGCCTCGTGTGCCTGGTGATCCAACCCATCTCTGGAGCTTGGCTTTGCTCCAAGGGCAGTGGCCTTTCAGGAAGGCACCTGTAGGATTGACGGCCCCCACTCAGACATTTAATTTCTCCCTGACTTAGAATAACACGGAACCAGAAGGGCTTAGTTTTTTTCTGTCCCCCACAGCTATGAATCATGTTGTCACTGTGCCCACAGTGCTGCCCTTAATGAATACATTCAGGCATGCCTGCAAGTCCCCGTGCACATTCCCACACGCGCTCCGTTGTCATCTAGCATTAATTAACAATGTTTAATGGGCTAACTGCTCCGTGTCCCCAGCTGGGTGACTCTTGCCATGAGCAGCAGGGATGCAATGGGATTAAGAGCACAGTGGAAACACTTCCCTGTTAGGCATCTTCCTAAATCTGAGGGTGTTGATGATGGCTACCCCTCCTCTTCCCTTCCTTCTCCCAGGGCAACAGGACATCTCCTGCCCCAGGAAGGCAGTGCAGGGACCCCAGTCCATCCCCACCACACTCATGCCAGCTCCTGCAGCGAGTCTGGGACATGGAAATGATGCTACTTCTTCTTCCCCCTGCAGAGCCAGCTGTCCCAGGCCTTGAATGGGTTGTCAGACAGAGCCAAGGAGGCAAAAGAGTTCCTGGTGCAGCTCCGCAACATGGTGCAGCAAATCCAGGTACGGTGCTCAGCCCTTGCTGGGGGGATGAGCTGCTCTCTGGGATCTTCCACCCCATCTCCTCAGCTTGCTTTGGGGGATCCTCTCCGAAGGGGCCCCCAGTCAGCAGCTATCTCTTTTCATATGATCCTTCCCAAAACTGCTCCTCCCGAAGCTGAGTGATGCGGTGAGCAGACCTCACTCTGCCACAGGCAAATCCAAGGATGCTCACTGCTGCTCTCTTCGCCACGAGCCAGGGCTGTACATATGCTAACAGCGTGGATTTGTGTGCTGCCGTGGCTGTACACATCGAGATAACCCTAGTAGACCCCAGGAGGAAAGTCATGCTGTGATGCTTTGCTCTGCTCTGACCCACAGGAGAACAGCGTGGAGTTCGAAGCCTGCCTGGTGGCCCAATGTGACGCCCTCATCGATGCCCTCAACAGAAGGAAAGCCCAGCTGCTGTCCCGTGTCAACAAGGAGCACGAGCATAAGCTGAAGGTGAGCCCCAGGCTCAGAGGGCTTCCTGCAGGGCTGCCTCCAGAGCGGGGTGAGATGCGCTGCTGTTTGTTGGGCTTGCTGCAAAGCTGCTTCTCACATGCTCAGCTTGCTCTGATGGGTCCTGAGCAGAGTGCTGCTGCCTCCACGTAGTTCCCACTGCATTACTCTGTTGCTGCATCAATTAGAAGTGATTGGGTTGTTAGAGCCCTCTGTACAGTATCCAGAGGCTGTTAGGTGACCTTGTTTGTGTCCCACGTTGCTTCTGAGCTCCTGGTCTGATCCTGCAGGATGCAGTGCTGTGAGTTCTGCTGGTTTCAGCAGGAGCTGCAAAGAGCTGGGGCACCTGGGGCTGCGAGATGCCACTTTTGTCATCAGGCAGGAGCAGGAATCACTCTGTGTTCTGTTGTGCTTGATGAGCACCTCAGGGTGATTGTTTCACCCAGCAGTGAAACACTGGCACAGAGGGAGCTGAGCTGCACATCTCAGTGTGAGCATTGAGGTCAGCTGAAAATAGGCTGAGTTCTGCACACACCTCCTTTAGGCTCTCCCTCTCAAGCATTTCCATCATGTTCACTGTCCTACACTCTCTCCTCGCTGCTGCTTCTCCCCAGCCTCCCTCCAAAGCCCCCAGCAGGTTGGGCATTAGACTCTGATCCACAATTAAAACCCATGGGTCCAAAATAGGTCCATCCAAGCCTGGGAGTTGGACAATAGCAGCTTTGTGGGGCTGAACCCTGCATCAGGGCTTGCTGTCCAACAACAAGCACAGCCCAAATAGGCAGTGCCACGTTGCTGGCCTGTAGATACAGAGAGGACCCCTGTGCCTGCGGGATCTCTTTCACTCTTGCCCTTCAGGGCATGGTTAATTAAAGCATAAAACATTTTCTTGGCTCAGCACAAACTACAGAAGCCTTTCATATTTTGGCCAGGGGAAGAAATCTGCTTCCCACGGCTTGCTCATCCCATATTGCCTGTCCCCAGCACATTCATCCTGCCTCATCCACGCTTGTTACCGACTGGCCTTTGTCATTAGGCAGAAGCAGCCACACTGTGAGTGCACTTCCAGCCCCTGGGCTTCAGGCTGGGCTCTTAAATCAGCCCTCAAGTCTCCCTGCTTGGAGTACTGAGTTTAGCAGCCCCCTGAGCTGTGTGGGAAGGGATGCTGTGTGGCAGGAAGGGCTCCATGGAGTCAGCAGCATCACAGTGGCTGCTATTTAAAACCCAGGAGCTGCTCCCTTCTGCTTTGCAACCTGTGCAGCACTGGTCAGACTTTTTGCTTGAACTTATTAATTTTCCCTTCTAATTCCTGTGAATTAGGAGTGAACAAAAGCTGCTGATGTGACCCACCTGAGGGCAGCTGAGTCCTGCACTGTGAGATGTAACCTCAGTGGCTGAGACGTACAGCCCAGCTCAATGCATGTCCTGAGGCAGGGACAGAGAGGGTCTTGCCTGTGTTCATACATGGAGGTGTAGGCCTGCTGGGCACCTCCCTGCTTTTCTCCCTGCTCAAACAGGGTCCCCACCATGCTCTGTGACCCAGGGGATGAGGCTGCCTGGATCATCACTGCCTGGAGCAGCTTTTCCTTTGCCCCTCCAAGGAGCCCCCAGACAAAGACAGCACCTGCAGCCCCCAGCTGGGCAAGCATTGTGCCTGGAGCAGCTGCACCTCCCTGGTGTCACCAAGGCTGCAAAGGCTGGCACTGCCTGCAGGGGACGATGACAAAGCCTGCAGCTTTTGCTTGGAGGCTCTGTGGGGCTGAAAGCATTGCAAAGGGAACAGACATCCCTGCAGGGTGTTAGAAAAGACAGCATGCAGGGTGCCTGGTGGTGCATGGAGGGGCTGCCTCCAAGTGCCCCTGTGCTGTGTGCTCAGCCCATGGCTTTCTGTATGTTCTGCTGTACTGCTGGTCCCATGGGATGCCAGCAGTTGGGGTCAGTTCAGCTTCAGGACTGACCTACTTTAGCTTGACACACATTTCATGGAGACAGGCACCAGGCCAGGACTGCCCATGGGCCAACACTGATTGTGCCAAGGAATGAGCTTGGAAGGGACATCTCCCTGCTTTTCCCAAACCTCCCCTAAACTTAGATTCATAGTAAGAGCCAGGCTTTAAAAAATAGGATCTGGAGGAGCAGTGGGGACAGGTTTTAAACTCCATACCCAGGGCAGACCTTGTGTGTTCTGCTTCTCATGGATGGCTTTGGTTTCCAAAGGACTGATGTGTTCCCAAAGGAAGATGTCCTATGGCACAAGCACTGAGTATGGGACATGCATTCCTACAGGGTTGTCCCAGGTAGAAATAAGACACCTCTTGGAGCTTCAGCCCGTATCACAGGACATGTTGGCATCTCCAGGGATGAAGTGCTGCTCTGTGACCCTTCGTATGGCATGGCAGCCCCCAGCAGGGCTCATCCAGCCAAGGTTTGCGTGAGGCTGCATGCCTTGAAAAGCAGAAATCCAGCCAAGGGCTAAAAAGAGGAGGGAGGACGAGGAAGACAGGTAGAGCTGAGTGCAGATGCCTTCTAGGAGCTATATTAAAATGTAAATTATAGTTAATGTCATCTTGCAGGAGAGAAAAGCTCTGGAAATAAATTTCCTATTTTAAGGTAGTAAGGAGCTGCTGTGAGCACGCAGCAAACATCCTTTCTGCAGGCTGCAATTAGTAACCAGGTTCTGGCTGTTGCCTCCGTTGACATGCAGTGGAAAAAAAAGTGACAAAAGCAACCAGAAAGGAAATGTGTGGAGCTGCCCCAACCTCCTTGCCAGCTGAGCTGGTGCTCTGTGTCCCACAGGCCTTTTCCCAGAAGATGCCACCATTCAGTGCTTTCAGCAGAGCTTTGCAAACCATCCATTCTATGCTAACGCCAAGGCAGTTGGTGCTGCTGGCTGTCTGGTGAGCACTGCAAGCCTTCAGAGTCCTCCTAAAGCTGCATGGCTGCTTGCCTTGTTCCCTTGTACAAGTCAGAGGAGCTTCCAGTTTTTCCTTTTGGCTCTTAACATAAACCCCCATTATTTCGGTGTAATGAGGAGCTGAGATACCCCACCAAGTGGGGACAGCAGCAGAGGAGAACCACTGCAATTAATCTGCTGTTTCATGCTCTAGTTCTTCAGCTGAATAGGTTCTCAATCCCTGAACAGAATCACAGAGCTCCAGAAGGGCAGGAATGCTGCTGAGGGGCAGCCCTGGTGGGATGGATGTTCTGAAGCTGCTGGGACTCAATACACAGTGCAGCCAGAGCTGATTGTGCCCTATGGCAAGGAGCCTGAGCTGGGTTGTGAGCCTGATGGTGACCTCTCAGCCTGTCCCTAAGCATCCTCTCTCCAGTCAGCAGCGCTGTGAGCTTCGCTGGGATGGGAGCAGCGGGTGTTTGGCTCATTGCCTGCAAGCACAGACCGCCCTGCTGCTCCTGGTTGGGACCAGACCTCTGGTAGGGACCAGACATCAGGAATCAGCCTTGCTTGGATGGGAGGAGCCTGCTGGGGCTGACTGTGCAGCCAGGGAGCATCGCTCCCCAGCCTCGGTCCTCGCTGGGTGACCGCTGCTTGTCGGCAGCACACGTCGGGCTGCTGCTGACAGATGGCCATTCTGCTGGTAATGCTTCAAAAGCATCCTTTGGGGCAAGGAGGGGGCTGCAAATTCATTATGCTGCCCCAACCCGATGGAGATTTAAGCTGCAAAGAAGATAAGAAGATTGTTTTCCCAGTCCCATCTTTGGATTGGTTATCTGTGCCGGGGATGTGCTGGGGATACACAGCACGTCTTGCAGCTGGGAAACGCGGCGTCCAACCCTCTTGGTCAGGAAAATCCTCCAACACCCTTCGCTTTTTGGGATGGAGGACGGGGTGGGAGCTCCCCCTGCTGTCTCTGCAGCTCGGCACACGGTACGTGCTGCTGATGCTGCTGCTAACGATGCTGACGCGGCCCCAGCAAACAGCAAATCCCCCCCAAACCGAGAGCCAGCATTTCCCACTGCCTCACAGAAACAGATACATTGCCCCAAGCTGCAGAGCCGTTGATTCGTTTCTTCCTGCTAGGTGATTAAGCAGAGGTGATTAAATTATAATTAAGCAACACGTGATCTGATCGATTGCCCTGCAGGAGCTGTTGCCCCCCTCTGCAGCCCAGGTTTGCTGGCTGCAGGAGGCTGGCACGTGCCCAGGTTCACCTCCATCCCTTTGCCTAGCTCGCAGAGGAAGCACTCAGCACGGCTTATTTTATTGCTATCACTGTGCTGAAGATGGGGCTGTGATGTGTTCATTCCTCCTGAAGATACCAGACTGCCAGGTGTCGCTCCTGGCTCCAGCACAGCAGCCCAGCTGCACTGAGGATGGGAGGGCAGATGGAGGATGGAGTCAGTGAGCTGTCCTGTGTGTTCCCTGGAGGCTTTGTCCCCTTGCTATTGATCACGTCCATGTGCCAACGCTGCTCTCCTCGTGTCATTGCAGGTGGTGAGAGACCAGATTTCTCACTGCACGGTGAAGCTGCGGCAGACCACGGGGCTGATGGAGTACTGCCTGGAGGTCATCAAGGAGAACGACCCCAGCGGCTTCCTGCAGGTCAGGGCTCAGCTCCCAGGAGCAGTGGGAAGGCATTGCACAGCCAGAGCCCTGGGGTGCAGCACAGTCAGAGGAGATGCAGGGAGGGTGGTGTCTCCGGCTTTGCCAGCCCTAAAACCAAGGGCCAGACCCTCATCGTAGAGCCATAGAATGGCCTGGGTTGCACAGGAGCACAGTGCTCATCCAGCTCCAAGCCCTGCTGTGTGCAGGTCGCCAACCAGCAGCCCAGGCTGCCCAGAGCCACATCCAGCCTGGCCTTGAATGCCTGCAGGGATGGGGCATACACAGCCTCCTTGGGCAACCTGTGCCAGTGCCTCACCACCCTCTGGCTCCAAAACTTCCTCCTCATATCCAACCCAAACCTCCCCTGTCTCACTTTAAAACCATTCCCCTTGTCCCATCACCACCCACCCTCACAAACAGCCGTTCTCCTGTTTATCCACTCCCTTCAAGTACTGGAAGGCCACCATGAGGTCTCCCCAGAGCTCTCCCAGAGTTGGATGGAGAGGAATCCAGTGAGGGCAGTCATAGAGCCGTGCACATGGGCAGGAATGACCACCAAAAAAACTCCAGCAGTCGGAGCCAGAGGTGGCAGCCTGGAAAGCACAGGGAAGGGGAACAGTGGGGTGGGGATGAGGCTCGGCATGCCCACGTTGCCCTCGTTAGCTGAGGCTGCTCCCTGCCACCAGATCTCCGACGCTCTCATCAGAAGAGTGCATTTAACAGAGGACCAGTGGGGAAAAGGGACGCTCACACCCCGCATGACCACGGACTTTGACCTGAACCTTGACAACGGCCCCCTCCTGCAGTCCATCCATCAGCTCGACTTCGTGCAGATGAAAGGTAAGGTTATTCCTCTGCTGTGCTGGGTGCTTCTGTGCGACTCAGCACAGGTGAGGGGCAGCAGAGAAGAGGTTCCCATCCCTACCAACAAACAGAGTTTGGAAGGTTGGGGCTCAGCCTGGCTTCACCAGGCCTCTGGGTCAAACTTGCTTCTGTTTCTCAATGGTAAAATGCAGATAATGGCTGTCCCTTCACTCCCCATTGTGAGTTTTAGGGCTCTTTTTGGGAGCAGAGGACAGTCCTGTAACAGCTGTGTCCCACTGCAGCACCCACAGACAGAGCAGGACTGGGGCCAGCTTTGCACCGTGCAGGTGCACATATGCAGTGTGATGAGACCTTCCAAGAGAGGGCCTTTGATACTCATTTAAGACAGCCAGCTCCTGTTTTCCATCTGGGTGGCCCTGGCAGCAGTGGCAGCACTCCTTCAGTCCCCAGGTGTTGGGATCGCTGTGGGTCAGACACCACAGGAGATCTTTGGCTCAGCTCCACGCAGTGAGATGGATGAAATTCTGCTTTTAAGAATGAGTAGAAGCTATTTTTCTCAAGGGGCATCCCTCAATCCTGCTGGCACTACCAGCACGGCTGCTGCTGCCATGGCTGTACCAGGAGGCCTCGCTGCACTCTGCTACAGGTCCAGCCCAAGGCATGGAGGAGTCACAGCAGGATGTGGTGAATGGGGAACCTTTGCTGTTGAGTCCATCTTCCCTCCCAAACATCTGTGGCCTCTCCACGTCTTGTCTGGGTTCTCCACTTCTTCTCTCCCACTGGCCCCAATCAATTTTGAGGGAAGAGCGTGGAGTGTGAGTGGTTCAGATTTGGGAAGGCTCTGCGTGGGACACCGTGGGAGGACCCTGAGCCTTTTTTTGGCAGATTGAGGCCATCATTCCCTGAAACAGCATCACTGGGCAATGCTCATCTCTTCTTTGCAGAGTCCTTCAATTCGTGCCATATCCTCCCATGTAAAGAGAAATCCAATCTATTCTGCAAAGCCCGGCAGTTGCTGGTATCTGTGGCTCTGGCATCACTTTTGCAGAGCTGCCTTGGCCCTGGGGCAGTGGGTGCATCCTCCATCCTCCAGCTGCACATGCACGGCTCTGCCCCACTCCTCCCCATTGGTGCTAGCAGTCAAGGTCACCCTAATTTGTGTTTAGTTTCCTCCCCAGTGCCGGCCCCCCCAATCCTGCAGCTGGAGGAATGCTGCACCCACAACAACAGTGCCACGCTGTCCTGGAAGCAGCCCCCCTTGTCGACGGTGCAGGTGGAAGGCTACATCCTGGAGCTCGACGATGGCAATGGAGGGCAGTTCAGGGTAAGTGCTGGGGGCACAGAGCCAGCCCTATGGCACAGCACGGCCATAAAGCAACCAGCAAGCTCCCCAGGTCCTTGCAGGCACTTTCCTGCCCTGCAACCATGAGACTTGCCCAAGGAAACCAGTGGTGCAGACAAGCCACAAGGGTTTTCTGGGGGCTGGGGTTACTTGAAGGGGTAGAAATAGCTTTCTAGTGACCAATATGACTTGCAAATGTGAAAGACCAGTTTGTAGCTCTGTCTTTTTTAGGTTGCTTGAATATTTCCTGCAAGGTATGCTAATTGCCCTGAAAGTCTCCCAGCTTGCCAGCTGCCAGCAAGCAGAGGTGTTCAAGGCCTGAAGGCTTTTAAATTGCTGTAATTACACAATTAAAATATGATTTTGCTCTGATCCGACACGCTGATAATTACCCATTTGCTGTGACTGCCCATCATCATTTCTCAGTACATCCCTGAGAAACTCAGCTGGGCAGGAGCCAGAGCAAAGTCAGGGCAGGAACCCTCACCCAGAGGGTGGTGAGGCACTGGCACAGGTTGCCCAAGGAGGCTGTGGATGCCCCATCCCTGCAGGCATTCAAGGTCAGGCTGGATGTGGCTCTGGGCAGCCTGGGCTGCTGGTTGGTGACCTGCACACAGCAGGGGTTGGAGCTGGATGAGCACTGTGCTCCTGTGCAACCCAGGCCATGCTGTGATTCTGTGATTCTATGAAAGGGAGCCTGCAGGCTGTCCTATGAGCCTTGGGGACAGACACACACCTGGGAAAGCAGGGCTCAGCTTCAAATACTGCCTCTTCAAACAGCATCACAGGAAGGTTGGAGTGAGAGCAGGGCAGCAGAGCTTCCCCATGCAGGTGTGCTTCCCAAGCAGAGCCTCCATCCACACCATGAAAAATGGAGCTCAGCTGTGGGATCTGCTAATTACAAGTCAGTGCTTTGTGAGCCAGGTGTTTCAGTAGCCTGTAGACATGTTTGCTGTCAGCTTACACAGCCCTGTTGCTTTGAACAGGAGCAGAAGCATGACACGATGGTGAGTCAGCACCACATGGGCGAAATCACTTTGTTTTCTTTCAAGGAACACTTTGATCCTGCCATCCAGGAGCATGCAAAATTGTTTTCTGTAAGGTTTTTTCTGTGTCCTAGGCTCTCTGTGTTAATTCATCTCTCTGGCAGGTTTCCTCTGGGATTCAGTGGGAGCTTAGCTAGGACTGATGCTTTACAAGTTGGTCCAACGTGAATAGTGTGTCTTTTCCCTGTAGAAATTGTACATTAGTGTCAAGGAACAAAGCACAGAGTCATTCAGCTCGGCTTTAGCAATATGCATGCCCATAAAGCTGCTCCATGCAGCATGGAGTAACAGGAGCAGGTGGGCTGCTCCCACCCCTGGCGTTGGATGCTCCGGGCACTGCCACCCCTGCTAACTAATCCCCAGCTGTGCTTGCTCTGCAGGAGGTGTATGTGGGCAAGGAAACCATGTGCACAGTGGACGGGCTTCACTTCAACAGCACTTACAGCGCCCGTGTGAAAGCCTTCAACAAAACAGGAGTCAGCCCCTACAGCAAGACCCTGGTGCTGCAGACATCCGAAGGTAAGGCACGGCCACAGCCCCAGCCCTGTGCGCCCGGCTGCTGCTCATACACACACGTGGGGCACATCACCACCACAGGCTTGGCACTGCCATACTGGGAATTCCACGCTCGCTGGGTCTCTGGTGTCTGAGCAGCCATGGCAAGGAGACAGCACTGAGGGGAGGAGGAAGGGCTGTGTCAGGAGCCTGGAGCGGCGCCCGCAATGCTCTCTCATCCCCTTTCCTTTGCAGAAGGTGTCATCTGGAGAGGGGTCGTGGAAAGTGTCCCAAAGGGAGGTGTTGTGAGCTTTGGGTTTGTGTTATGCCCAAGGGAAACTCATGGCTGCACTGACTTGGTGTAAAACAAGACACTGAGCACTGCTCCTCAGGCACTAAGGGCTGAGCAGGGCTGCAGAGTGACGTCGCCATACAGTGTGCCCTTAAGCCCCTGGGAGGGCAGGGACTGTGCAGCTACATGAATGTCCTTGCAGACCCCACAGAGAGCACCAGCAGAGCCGTTCTGAATATCAAACACTCTTGCAGGTTGCAGGGGAGGCTCCTCGCTTGACTTTTAGTGCATTTGTCACAGCAGCTGCTTAATCCCTCATGGAAAATGGGCTTGCTTCTAACATGCAGGTCACAGGGTTAGGGCTGTGGGGGAGCAGGCAGCAGTGCTGCAGCTGGGCAGGAAAGGCTCAGTCCCACCAGCACACCCAGCTGCAGCTGGGGACAGAAGGAAGCACACAGCTCAGGGCTGGGGATGGGGGTGAACCTCTTCTTGCTGCAGAGCACAGTGGTGGGTTTGAGCAGGCAGGAAGAAGGGTTTCCTGCTGCAAACTGGGTTGTGGAGTAGGAGCAGAGCAAGGCTATGCAGAGCACTCCCATGTGCTGCTTGCACTCATCCCTAGCAGGAAGCTGCTGCTTCTGTGAGGCATGGGCCAGGAATGGAACAATGTCTGACAGTGAGGTGGAGCAGAGAGCAAACCTGTGACGAGCCCTTCTCATCCAAGAGGATCCCAAAGCAAATCCCATCCATCCGAGAGCTGCGTGTGCATCTGCAAAGCTGGACAGCAGCAGCAGGGAAGCTGTGGCGTTGCTCTGGAGGGCTGAGGATGGCACAACACTGAGCAGCCCACACAGGGGTGACTCCTGAAGTCAACAAATATCACTTGCATCACTGCCTGGCTTCACTGGGCTTTGCAGGAGGCAGCAGGGCTTTGGCTTCCCATCAGGTTTGTGCTTCTTTTAGGCTGCATTTGAGACGCAGCATCCCGCAGTTGGCCTGTAGGCAATCCCAGGAGCTCTAGAATACAGAGGAAGCTGGAAGAGAAAACGGCTGTTGGTGGTCCCAGCAGACTGGGTGGTGCTTGGGGCTGGTGCCCAGCTCAGGAGCACACACACATCGCTCATCTGTGCCTCAGATGAAAGCTGGCTTTGTGTTGGATTGCCTTCGGCGTTCCTGCACAAAAGAAAGGGGCAGAAAAGGTAAATGGACCCAGAGTGCTTGCTGCTTTCAGAGGCAGTCAGAGCTTTTTGGACTCAAAGTGCCATAAATTGCAGCTGTGTGCAGCTTCCAGGCCCCGAGCGATGCGGTGACTGGGCTGCCTTGCACGTCATTACCATCCATCTGGGCTTTTATGCCTGTACAGCAGCACCCAGTTTCTAAGTGCTGTTTGCACTGAAATAGCTCTCGGGTTTGGCTTTCCCCTGCAAAGTGCTCCAGTGGGAGAGCAAGGAGGGACAAAAGAAGAGACATGCTCTGCATGAGGAGGACATTTCTCAGAGCACAGCTGTCCCGTTGTAAGTCCTTATCAGATGTTCTGCTTAGATGCTGATAGAGAAAATCTTCAGGCAATGTCTGACTGCTTGCGTTGTCTGATAGCGATAGGACAAGGGGGGAGTGGCTTCAAACTAAGAGAGAGGAAATGTAGGTTAGATGGTAGGAGGAAATTCTCTCCTCAGAAGGCTCAGAGCTGTGGGTGCTCCATTCCTGGAGGTGCCCGAGGCCATGAGTGGGTCCTGGGCAGCCTGAGCTGGGGGGCACCAAGCCCATGGCAGATGGTCTGTAAGGTCCCCTCCAACCCAACTATGCTGTGGTAGCTGAATGCAAAACCTGCAGAAGGTAGCTTCTGCCCTCTGCATGCAGTCAGATGAGCTGTGGGGAGCAGAATGCCCTGCAGGGTGCCTGGCTTCTCAACAGAAGAAACCAAAACCTCCTCCATAGACTCCGAAGATGGCAGCAGTCCCTCAGCTGGGGCACAGTGTAATGCCTTCCCTACCTGATGTGGCATCCATCCCAGCCACAGAGTGACCTCCAGCAGCAAGTTTTGAAGCAGCATCATTTGGAAAGGGCTGAACAACACAAGGGAAAGGCACTACAAGGAGCCGTAGGAACATCAGGTGCTATTAAGAGAGCCATGAGCCTGCCTGCCCACAGCGGCCCTCTTGCTCCTGGTAGACATCAGAGGGTGCATCCCAACCTCAACATGAGCTCCATGTATGAACACGTTTTGCAGTGGGTTACCCAAGCTGTTGCTGAACCCACTGATGCTCTTTGCTTCCGTAGCCTCACGCAGCAGCAGGTCCCAGAAATTGGCCCCCACCATGCAAAGAAATGCCTCCTTTTATCTCTTTGGACTCACAGCAAGGTGGGAAGGCTGAGGTGACAGTGTCTGGGATTGCAGTGTGTGGAGGATGGTGGATTCTACGTGTTAGCAATAGAGCAGCCCTTGCCAAGGCGGCAGGGAGGAGGTGGCAGGAGGTGACCGTTGGTGCCGGCAGGGAATGGGATGCAGTGGTGCAGAGTTTCCCTCCAAGCTGTTTTCTGTGAACCACACGAGTTCAGTTCTCACTGTGAGGCTCAGATGTGCTTCCACAGGTGCAAAGAGACACCGAGGTCACACCAACCGCACAGCCTTTGAGTCAGGTGGGTGCCTGATGGCCCTGAGGGCAACAGAGCTCAGCCCGGCCCTGCGAAACGCCTCTGCAGCATTACAAACCCTGTAAGCCAAGTGATGCATCTCACTCCTCTGCCAGGCCATGCTGTGCACGCTGCCCTGCCCCGCTCCCCATGCCCACATGCACTCACTGCAGCCGAGGTCCGGGTGTGGGCAGCGCGTGGCCCTGCAGAGCTGATGTCTGATCTCCGCTTTGCATTGATCTCACGTTTAGAGACGCAGTCAGAAGAACAGACCCTCCCTTTTCCAGTGCCTTTGGAAAGATTGCAGCTTCGTAGAATGAGTCCTTTCTCCTCCACCCTTAATCTACAACCCAGCTTCCCGGGGAGATCCTACTTTGAGCTAAGATCTTCGGCCCACCAGCTGAGCTTGCATTCTTCCTTACAGTCCCTGAACTCAGCCGGTGAGCCCAGCACCTCTGGCATTTCTCTTGGTCTGTGCTTCTGGGCATCTCCAAAGTCTTTGTTTTGTTTTGTTGCGTTCTGTTTGTTTTTCCCATGACATGCGGATGGCAGGGGGAAGCTGTGCTGTTCGTCAGCGCGACCCGGAGGGGATTTTGGCGGTGTAGCTGTGGCAGTGTGTCCATCTGTCCTTAGCAGTGAGGCGTGGGGCGATGCTGGGAGTGCTGTCCTCAGCAGAGCAGATTCCTCATCTCTAGTTGGCATCGATCCTGTGCTGAGATGGGGGCAGAGCAGACCCCCCCCCCCGGGAGGAACCCCTGGGTGCACTTCCACTGTTTGCTTCCCCTATGGAGGTGGGCTGTGGTCCCTGAGGTCCCCGAGGAGCGCAGGCGCAGTGCACCTCAGAGCTGTTTTCTAACCAATCTTTGGCACATCCTTTGTCACTAATGAATCATGGGCCCCGATTCTTCCACCGCTGGGTTTACGCCGCCCCAACAGAGCCATTTGCAGCTTCCTCCATTGTAAGCCCAGGAAGAATGGGGGTCCCCGATTGCTTTCTTTCCATCTCATAACCTGGAATGAGGAATGCTGCAGCATGACCGTTGCTGGAATAACCAGGGGCCTTGCAGCTTTTCTTTTCTTTGTGCTTTTTATGTTCCTTCTCATCATACCGCTGTGCACTGATGCCTTCCACTGTCTCGTTACGGACGTTTCTGACTTTGTGTCCACTGTACCAACACCTCCTGCAGTGGCTGTGAGCATCATGTGTGGAGAGATGGGGCACTGGGACGGGGCGAAGCTGGGCCGTGGTCCCCACCTCTCTGCACTGCAGAACCGCATTGCTGCAATGCAAAACAACCCCTGCAGGTGGGGAGAGCCCCGTGGGTCTGGCCTGGCTGCACGGCAGCTCTCAGGGGGTGCTTGCAGCCAGCAGGAGGCCTGCAGCCTTTGGGGCTCCAAGGGCAGGAGCCACCCCAGAGATCCCCGTTGTCACCCATGCTCCCTGGTTGTGCTGGGAGCCCCCTCCATGCTCTCTGGCTTTCAATGAATCAGGCCTCCCATGGCTGCTCCGTGAGGGGCTAACTCCTCAGCAGTGCTTTTCAGGAGACCAGTTGTTCTTTCTTAGCTGTGATGTGTTTGAAATGCAGTATCTCTTTATAGGATGCAATTTTGAGACACAAGGAACGCCTTACTCTCAATTAGGCAAGTATCTCTCTTACAATTAACTGGCACCTACTCCATGTTGGTCATCTTTTTTGTTTGATTGTTAACTTGGGTGGGTGAGCAGCATTTCTCATGCACACCCTCCTTGCAGGGCGTTCCCAGATAGCAGTAGGCAAATTTGAAGGTCGTGACCATATGCTGTAAAGGCATTTTAAGTTTTCCCCCTGTGAAGAGAAACCTGAAGTCAGCACTGTGCCAATGGCCTCTGATTAAAAACCCAGCCTTCTGCTCAAGGCATTCCTGTTCATTCAGGATAGTTGAGCGTGTGCCAGACCACAAGTAGATGATTAACCCTCCTGCAGCTAATTGCAGTGCTGGGGTAGACGTGCATCCATCAGGCTCACACTGCCTTCTCCAGGACAAGTGGCACTCACAGCCTGCAAAGCCATCCTAATGGCATGGGATGGGGGAAGGAGTCCTCTGGAGGGCCCCTCTTTATGGGGTTGGATGGGATGGAGGAGGAAGTCACCCGCAGGTCCCATCCTAATGGGATGGGATAGGGAAGGAGTCCTCTGAAGGGCCCTCCTAATGGGATGGGATGGGGGAAAGAGGCTTCTGAAGGGCCCATCCTGATGGGATGGGGGAAGGAGTCCCTGGAGCACTCTCCATGCCCTCCAACCCACACCCCACATTCCCTCCCTGCGTTTCAGTGTACTCACAATGCTGAAAGCCAGAGAAGCAGGCAAGCAGAAATTGTTTCTGGTTCCTTCTTTGACCGAATGCCAACTTTACGCGCTGTTTTCTTTCCCGCATGCCTCTCCTTGGGAATGACCACAGTTGACATTAAAAAAATGGTGGCAGGTACGGAATCGCTTCTGTCGGGCTGCAGCAGTGGGGCACCCGTGTGCATGCGAGCTGTCCTGTGACACCATGCAATGGGCAGAGGAATAAATCTCACCAGAGCGTTCCATCTTTAAAGCTGGGTTTTCCTCCTTCGGGTGGGAGAGCGTTGGTGGATGTGTCAGCCCTCGGTCCAGTGACTGCTGGAGAAAAACCAGCTGTGAAGGCAGGGTGGTGGTTTTGCAACCCTGTGCCTCTGTCTTGTTGAGCACTGCTGTGTCTGTCAGACTGCCAGCGACCGAGTCTGTGCTTATAAGCAGGCGTGGAGGTTTTGGGGCATCTTTCAGCATTCCCATGGGCTAGCTCTTGTTTCCTGCATGGCTGGTTGCTCTGTAGGGATGTGGAGCAGCATTCCCGTAAATGCAAACCTTTGGATGTGCTTTGGGTTGCCAGAGCTGCCAGCTTTCCAAGGCACACGTGTGGTTTACCTGCTCATCCTCAGATTAGTCTTCCCACCCCAAGCCTGACCCTGCACAGAAGTGTGAGCATCTCCCCCTGTGTTAGCCAGCAGCTGGCCATGATGGCACGTGTTCTGCTAGTGCCAGGCTTTAGGAGATGGTCGTAATCCTGAGCTGCAGACAGGCAGGGACCCGAGGAGCAGCAGAACAGAGCTCAGCTCATTGGATCCCAGCCAAAAAGCCTTTAACCCACCCTGTATTCCAGCAGCCCAGCCCTCCCTGGCTGTCAGCCCTGCATGGAGCATGCACTGTCTGTCCAGTCCCCACGGCTCAGTATGGCAGGTGAGGTTCCCATTGGCCTAACCCTTCGCTCTTCATTTATTCCAGTAGCTTGGTTTTCTTTCGATCCTGCCTCTGCACACGCTGACATCATCTTTTCTAACGACAACCTGACTGTCACCTGCAACAGCTACGATGACAGGGTTGTGCTGGGGAAAACGGGCTTTTCCAAAGGGCTGCACTACTGGGAGTTGTCCATCGATCGTTACGACAACCACCCGGACCCGGCCTTCGGCGTGGCACGCATCGACGTCCTGAAGGATGCCATGCTGGGCAAGGATGACAAAGCTTGGGCCATGTATGTGGACAACAACCGCAGCTGGTTCATGCACAACAACTCTCACACCAACAGGTATGCACTCTGCACCTGGGCGCTGCTCCATTGCAAGACCATGGCTTGTCTGCCTGCAGGAGGGCTAAATTGGCTGCTGGTCACCTTTATTGGGGGATGTGTGCCCTTGCCCAAAGCAGAAAACAGCCCCTGCTGCACTGGCTCATTGCTACAGCCACTTCTTCCCTACGCTGGCTCTTCCATTAGTACCCAAAGCCTTGTAGTTCCTGCTGCAAGAAAGTACGTGGTTGCATTTAAACTGGTAGATAGCACAAGGAGGAACAGTCTCAGAATAAAAGAGGAGAGATTTAGGTCAGATGGCAGGAGGAAATTTTTCATGAGAGCACTGTGGCCCTGGCACTGCCCAGAGCTGTGGGTGCCCCATCCCTGGAGGTGCCCAAGGCCACGGATGGGGGCCTGGATGTCCCGAGCCAGTGGTTGGAACTGGGTGGGCTTTGGGGTCTCTTCCAACCCAACCATGCTGTGATTCTATGACAGGAGCTTGGAACTGGGTGGGTTTTAAGACTCCTTCCAGCCCAAGTGCTCTGTGATTCATTTATCCCTGTGCCAGGAGCACGAGGGACACGATGCTACGGAGATGCTGTGACTTTCTCCTTGCTCCCACAGGACTGAAGGTGGGATCACAAAAGGTGCCACGGTGGGAGTGCTGCTGGATTTGACCAGGAGGACCTTGACGTTCTCCATCAACGAGGACCAGCAGGGCCCCGTCGCCTTTGAGAACTTGGAGGGCCTGTTCTTCCCAGCAGTCAGCCTCAACAGGAACGTGCAGGTAAGTGCTCCCTGCAGGAGCCTCACCAGCTCCTCCATCTCTCCAGGTCCCAAACGAGAGCATTACCAGGGAGAAGGGCATCACTTAAAGCCTGTTTTCCTCTGGGGATTTTCAAACCCCTCTTTTCTCCCTCTCTCCCAAGCTCTCTGCTATCCTGAACATCACCAAGTGGTGGCTTCCTGGGCCTCTCTGGTATTTTCATCTTTCATTTCCCCTTATCACCAATCTCATCCCTGCTCTCATCCACCCCAGTGAGTCTCCACGTTCCTCCAGCGTGGCTGTGGCACATCCCTGTGGTCACTGCTTGCTGTTCCAGCACTGCACGAGCCCATCTGTCTGCACTGCTTTTAGGAGATGCCTATTGGTGTGGTACAAACGTCCTTCTCCACAGTGGGTTTAGTTCTTACCACACTCCTTCGCACTGCCACAAGAGAGAGGCACGTTTCTAGAGCCCTTCTGGTTTCTGGCAGCTCAGTGTGCAAGGGAGAGTTTGAAATCCTTCGGCATTAAGGACATCCCAGGGGATCATAGAATCAAAGAATGGCCTGGGTTGAAAAGGAGCACAATGCTTATTTAGTTTCAACCCCCTGCTATGTGTAGGGGTCGCCAACCAGCAGCCCAGGCTGCCCAGAGCCACATCCAGCCTGGAATGCTGATTAAAGGCTGCTAATAAACCCCAAGCTCTTCATTATCCTCCTTCAGAGGCACGTGAGTAATTACAACGACTCCAATCAGGATGGAGGTAATTGTATCACAGACAAAGTTTTCTATAAATCCATACCTGAAGGGGAACATGCCTTCTCAACAAGGAATTGTGCTTTCCTTCCAAAGCAAAGCATTTAGGGGGGAGGGGGGAGCTGAATTACCCCGCACAGCAGCTCTGCACACCTGTGTGTGTGCTCAGGACACAGCCCCTCACCTGGGACGGCCCCAAGCAGTGAGCATCACCCCCAGCATCCTTCACCCTCACCCCGTCTCCTTGCAGGTGACGCTGCACACGGGGCTGCCGGTCCCTGAGTTCTACGCCTCGCGCTCGGCCATGCAGTGAGGATGAGGCAGCACGGAGCTGCGAGCGCCGGCACTGGGGGCAGCCAGAAGGGAAGGAGGAACCCAGCTTTGGCAGTCTTCATTCTCCACCCACCAGCGCTGTCCTGTGTGTGTACGCTTCGCTGTTTAGCTCTTTTTGGCTGATGAAGTACCTAGGTAGCCCGAGATGTCCCTGTGCCCGCTTTTAGGTTCGGTTTCACTCCTTTGAGTTGGGGCCTGGAGTTGTGATGAGAGCTTCCCATCCTGCATCCTGCTGCAGCTGGCCAGGCTGTGGGAGGGACCCCCCAGAAAGCTTTCGCCCCCTCCAGCCCCGTTCCTTCGCAGGATGTTTCTTTCCCCGTGGCCTTTCTTGCAGAGCACCTCCCTGCCACACACCGGGGTCAGCCCTGGGTTGCTGCCGGTCCCCATGGAGGGATGCCCCATGTGCAACAGCAGCCCCAGCGGCACCCCCACTGCTGTTGGGGTGTTGCAGCTCCCAGTGAAGGCAGCAGCACCCCGGGGCGATGCTCCGTGGCTGGGGTTAAACCACAGCCACCTGCTGGAGCAGAGCTGCATTGTTGCTGGGGTCAGCGCCAGCAGAGCGGAGAGCAAAACCTTTCCCACCACTGTGCCCCCAAGGCTGGGCACAGCAGGGGCAGGATTTGGGGCAAACCCAGCACCCGGCTCCCCACAAACCAGCACCACAGCCATACGCCGTGCTGCTCCTTGGAGGCGAGCATTTATTTTTGTAGAGCCTTAAATACTGCCCCATAGCATCCTTCCCTTGGCAGGAAAACTCACTCAGCAAAGAGGTTCTGAAGGGGAGCCCGGGGATGGGGAGCACGGAGAGTCGACCTGCACTCAGGAAGCCGTGTCCCCTGCCATGCCTGCCCTGTGGCCGTGCCCCAGGGGCGATTCAGGCTCTGAGCAGCACCATGCCTGCTGCCCACACACACTGCTACCCAAGGGCCATGCATGCGCTCATCCCCACGCTTTGCTTTATGGTCCTTCGCCCTCGCAGCGGCGGCGCTGCCCGTGCCATCAGAAAGCTGCGGCTCAGACCCGGCAGAACAACTGTATATAGGTCACCCCCTCCCTACCACCCCCTTATCCCCTCCGTCCCCGCGTTGCTCTAGTACGAAACTCACCTAATTTATTGACTGGGTGCTATCTTGTTCATTCACACCGATGAGTTCCTCCGCTGTAGGAGAGCTGTGTTGCGGGACAACGCCGAGCGGCTCTGCGGTGATTGCCCCATGGGCTCCGTGGCCGGGTCACGGGGTGCCTTCCTCAGCCCTTTCCCCCCTTCTTTAGGATGTTCATGGTGCTTATTAGGCTCCTCATGGTCGTGCGGTGTCGTCCCCACTGTCCCGCGATGATAGCTGCCTGCAGCTGCTCTGCTCCTGACGAGTGTCACGGTTGCTGTTCTAATAAAGGACTTTTATCAGATTAAAACTCAGCTTCCCTGAGCATCTCTGCATCACCCCAGCCCCTGCAGCATCCTCACCCTCAGGGTTGGGCATTGGCTGTGAATAGAATCGTGGAATCGTTGTGATTGGGTCTGAAATGACACAGTGCTGGCTCTTAGATGGGCTGTGCACAGCTCCCAGATCCAAGGGCTCAGCTGCTGTCCCAAAGTGCCTTTTTCCAACCCTTCCCCTCTCCAAGGACGCTCACAAGTGTGGGTTATTTCTGAGCACATTCAGGAATGATTTCAGGAAGGTCACTGCCATCCAGGCTGGGATGTATGGAATCACAGAATGAAAAATGGCCCGGGTTGGAAGGGACCTCAAGGATCACGAAGCTCCAACCCCCCTGTGCCACGCAGGGCCACCAACCTCCACATTTCACAGCAGCCCAGGCTGCCCAGGGCCCCATCCAACCTGGCCTTCAACACCTCCAGGGATGGACGGGGCATCACAGCCTCTCTGGGCAGCTGTTCCAGCACCTCACCACTCTCACAGCACACAACTTCCCCCTGACATCCAACCTCCATCTGCCCTCAATGGTGGGATGCAGGGAGGGCAGAAAACCAACCAGAGATGGGGTGGTGTCCAAAAATTCCAGAAAGTCACTTAGAAATCAAGTGGTTTCAATAAATTCAAGACGATAACCTGGAAATTAAACGTTTTGTAGAAATAAAAGTGGGAGCTCAGCATTCCACAGCAGTGCTGGTGAAAGCCCTCTGAGCTCACCAAGTCTAAGTGCTGGCCATCATCACTGCGGCCAGCGGTGGGGTCAGAGGGGTTGGAAAAGAAGGGAACTACAGGGGCACACAGCAAACTGGGAAGGAGAAAAGCAGGGGGAAAAGGGGTATGCCCCATCCCTGGAGGTGTTGAAGGCCAGGTTGGATGGGGCCCTGGGCAGCCTGGGCTGCTATGAAATGGGGAGGTTGGTGGCCCTGCATGGCACAGGGGGGTTGGAGCTTCGTGATCCTTGAGATCCCTTCCAACCTGGGCCATTCTGTGATTGTGGGTACGGGGAAAGGGGGTCTTTGGTGGAGGTTGCGGGAGATGGGGTTGTGGGGGAGTCCCAGGCGTAGGGATGCGGAGGAGATGCATGGAAAAGGGGTGCGGGGGGAGGCAGAGGGAGCAACGGGGCTCGAGCAGAGGAGAGCAGCACAGCCTGCCCGGCCCTCCCCTCCCCGGGCCCCGCTCCTCCCGCTGTCCCCTCCCTCGGGGGCGGCCCGGCCCGTGGCGGAGCTCAGCCCCAGGGCGGTGCCAGCCGGGACCGAAGCGGAACCCCGCGGCCGTCGGCGCTCCGTTCCCCGCAGCGATGTCTCGGCCGCTGTCGGACCAGGAGCGACGGAAGCAGATCAGCATCCGCGGCATCGTGGGAGCCGAGAACGTGGCCGAGCTGAAGCGGGGCTTCAACCGGCACCTGCATTTCACGTTGGTTAAGGATCGCAACGTGGCCACCCCCCGCGACTACTACTTCGCGTTGGCCCACACCGTGCGGGACCACCTGGTGGGGCGATGGATCCGCACGCAGCAATACTACTACGAGAGGGACCCCAAGGTGGGTGCGGGGGGAGCCGGGCTGTGGGGCACGGCTGGGCTCAGGGCGCTGCGTTCCTCCTCCGTGGGGCTGCGCCGCTCAGCTTTGCAAAGTGTCCCGGGTGGACTTTAGCGGGCGAGGCCGCTGCCCTTTGCTTTGCAAAACAAACAGAGCGCTTTGGTTCCGAGCATGGGAACGGCGGTGTTGTTCCCCTATGGGAATGGCGCTGTCCCGTATGGGAATGGCGTTGCTGTCCCCTATGGGAGTGGCATCGTCCTGCGGGGGAGCGGTGATGTTGTTGGCCCGGCTCGGCCGTGGGAGCGCCTCGGGGAACGTTCCCGTGGAGGGAGGATGGGGTTTGCGGAGCAAATGGAGCTGAAAGGCTGCGGGCAGAGCTCGTTCTGCACCGCTCGGGACCGAGGGCGAGCCGTGTTGGGGGGTTTGCACCGGGCTCTGCTGGGGATTAAGCTCTAATCCCCTCCTGGCACCCGCACGGCACTGTCGGCTCCAATTTATCCCAATTTATCTATTAGTGGAAGCTGGAGGCCCACTGCTCGGTGCAACTCTGCCGCAGGGCTCCAAATGCGGGACCCTCCCCACCCCCCCAGATGTCACCCGCCCAGCACTGATCCCATTGCATCCCATGGTGTGTGCAGTCAGCACTTCTGCAGCCCCAGTCCTCCCTAAACCCATCGCTGCTGACGCCGCAGGATGGGCAGCTCACAGAGCCACTGCTCTTGGTGCCCTGCTGCATCACACACCTGGTGGGTCCACAGCCCTACAAGCAGTGCTCCCACGGCCAGGCCCATGGGATGGCAGCACACAGGGAAATGGGATGCACCCAGTTCTGCTTTGCCACTTGGTGATGCTGAGCAACATTAGGAAATGGGTCCTCTTTAAATTTAAACTTTGTACCGAGGTGACTCAACTCTTGGAAAGGGGAGAGAACAGCAGGACAAGGGGAAATGGTTTGAAGTTGAGGGAGGGCAGATGGAGGTTGGATGTCAGGGAGAAGTTGTGTGCTGTGAGAGTGGTGAGGTGCTGGAACAGCTGCCCAGAGAGGCTGTGATGCCCCGTCCATCCCTGGAGGTGTTGAAGGCCAGGTTGGATGGGGCCCTGGGCAGCCTGGGCTGCTGTGAAATGGGGAGGTTGGTGGCCCTGCATTGGTGGGGGGTTGGAGCTTCGTGATCCTTGAGGTCCCTTCCAACCCAGGCCGTTCTGTGACTCTGTGTGACCTTCCCATCCGAACAAACCCGCTGTGCCCTCCTCAAAAATAACATAGGGGCCGAAATGGGGTGAGGGCAGTGGACCTCCTCCAGGTCCTAAAATCCCCACTCCAAAGCGTGCTGGGAGGTAGGGTTTCCCATTGGAGCTCTGCTTTGGGAGCAGCAGCCCATGGGTTGGCTGAGCACTAAGCCTTCCTCCTGCAGAGGATCTATTACCTCTCCCTGGAGTTCTACATGGGCCGGACGCTGCAGAACACCATGATCAACCTGGGGCTGCAGAACGCCTGCGATGAGGCTGTGTACCAGGTGAGCACTGAGCTCTGGGCCTCATGGCCCTGGGGTGACACTCGGGCTGATGGAGGGCTTTGTTTGTTTGCTTGCTTTTCTCTCCTCCCACCCCTTTGCCCCGTGCAGGGCAGCCACTGCTCAGCTGGAGCGGTTGCACAACAGCAGGAGCAGCTTTCAAGCAAATGACATTCAAAGGGAGGGCGATTTATCTGTGGGGCTTTTCTAAAGCTGTAAGCACAGTGAGGGCAACAGCCCGGCCAGGGGCAGGCAGCTATAGGAAGAGGTTTGGGTGTTGCATGGTGATTGCACAGCTGTGCAGCAAGCTGAGTGCTGGATGCCTCTGCAATAAAATGTTTGGCTTCATATGCATTGGTTTGAATGTGCGTAGTGGTGTTTGGGGCAGTTCAGTGCAATGCAGAGAGAGGCTGGTGCTGCAGGACCGGCTGGGGAGCTTTGGGATGGGGAGAACGTGGGCAAACACGTTGGTTGTGGGTTTTTTGGAGAAGTGGGAACTGGTGGCTCAGCTGAGTTCCTCCTGAGCTGCCCTGGGAGCTTTGCATAAGCAAAACTTCTTCCTTGACAGCACTGTGGGCTGAAAGCTGGAGATGTGTTTGTAGGGGTGCTGTAGCCACATCTCTGCTTGTCCCTTTTGTAGGGTGGTGCCACCTGTAAGCTTGTCCACAACGAGGGGAAGGATGTGGGTGTCCCTCATAGTGACCCACAGCACTGGGGATGCACACAGCACAGGGACTGCCCTCCTCCCTCATGTCCCCATGTCCCAGCAGTGAGGGCAGCACCCTCACTGGGTGAGGGGTGCAGGGTGGGCGCTCAGTCCCATTGCCTCCTCCTTGTCCTCAGCTGGGGTTGGACATAGAAGAGCTGGAGGAGATCGAGGAGGATGCCGGGCTTGGTAATGGTGGGCTCGGCCGGCTTGCAGGTGAGAGAACCCCCAAATGGTGTTGTTCCCAGGGTGAGGGCGCATCCCATGTGGGGACCCGTGCCCCGGGGCTCCCTGCTCCTTGCTGTCTCCTATCCTTGGCAGCCTGCTTCCTCGATTCGATGGCAACGCTGGGGCTGGCAGCCTACGGCTATGGCATCCGCTACGAGTATGGCATCTTCAACCAGAAGATCCGCAATGGGTGGCAGGTATGGTGGGAACCCCGTGGGGCCCGGGGCAGCCTGAGCTGCTGAGAGGCAGCCAGCCCATAGCTGGGATGGGACTGGGAGTGCTGTGAGGTCTCTTCCGACCCAACCATGCTGTGACTCCATGACTCCCCCCCGTGCAGGTGGAGGAAGCTGATGACTGGCTACGGCATGGCAACCCCTGGGAGAAGGCCCGGCCCGAGTACATGCTGCCCGTGCACTTCTATGGCCGTGTGGAGCACACTGCCAGTGGCACCAAGTGGGTGGACACCCAGGTACGGGGGCACAGCCGGCACGCTGGGCCCCCATATGGCTTGTGTCCTGCTGCACTCAGAGTGACAGCCTACATCCAGCTGCTGCTGGCACCTGAAGGCATCTGTCCATCTCCTGAGGGCTTCTGGCCTCAGGCAGAGCTGGGATGTCCCTGCAGCCGGGGCTCTGGGGACCCTGGGGAACCTTCTGGGGGTCCAAGCGCATCCCCAAGCCTGTCACCATTGCAAGGGTGGATGCAGCTCTGGTGGTTGGGGTGGGAGGGTTCCAGCAGGGCGTGGGGATGTGGGGACGTGGGGACACGGTGCCTGCAGTCTGCCCAGCCTCACCAATGCCCCAGGTGGTGCTGGCACTGCCCTACGACACCCCTGTGCCCGGGTACATGAACAACACCGTCAACACCATGCGCCTGTGGTCGGCTCGGGCACCCAACGACTTCAACCTGCGGGACTGTGAGTGGGGGCCCAATGGGGGCTGGGTGGGATAGGAGGCAGCCAGGCCACTCTGACCGTACCCCTCTGCACCTCTACA